CATCCCAGTTTAGAGTTCCTGCAGTCTCTTCCATCCACATCCTATCCTATTTTCTTCAGCGCTCTCTGCACCCCCCCACTCCTTATCCTTCCCTGTCCTTATCAGTTGGACATCAGGGAAGCAAGGCCTTGGCTGCCACAGATGACTTTGAAATACACTAGGCAGGAAATGCAAAACATTTTGTCTGCTGAGTGTCTCCAGTGCAGACATTGTGTGCTGGGCCAGGATTATCCTGGCTCATGGGGTGTTCAGAGAACAAGGCTTCCACTGCCAATTCAACCTCTGAAAGGGGCATTCCAACATAGCCAGAGGAAAGAGACCAAGGCAAACAGACAGAGAGACAGAGCTACCTATTGATGGTACTTATCTGACTTATCTGTCCCATGTTACCAGGACATAAGGTGATATATTGTGTGTCAGAAACACCGTCCCACCCTGTGAGGTCAGGCAGTGCCATTGTCCCCATTTCACATACAGGGAACTGAGCCACAAAAAGAGCAAATGATTTATCATAGTCACACAAAAAGCAGTGCAAAGCTGTCCTGTTTTTCTGGCTTAAGAAAGAGGGAAGTCCTCTCTTTCCAGCAGTGCTGTCACTGTAGGCTCATTCCTAGTGAGCATAGAGCCCAGGGGAATCCTGATGGGCGAGGCATCCCATTCTCCTTGCTACCAACTTGTTCATCTTCCTTCCTCCCCTAGAGTCAGCCAAAGCAGCCCACATGGTGGGGACTCACCAGGTACATCAGGGGAGGGATTCAGGATCATGAAGGCATCAGAGAGCCCAGCTTTGACAGGGTGCTGTGTGGCGCTGATTGCCAGGACAGACACAGGGATCTGGAATGGGGAGAGATGACAGCCCGTGAAACCTCATGGTCTGTGTGTCCAAGGGCCATGTACAGTGGGCATCAGCAGAGTCAAACAGCTTGGAATGACCTAGCTGATATTCTCTGGGGGCCTCTCCCCTCCTGTTTTTCCCACAGCACAGGAGTAGATTAAGGACCACTGTCTTGTACCAGCCTGGGTCCTGTGTATCCTGCTGTTCTCCATCCCTGCCTGGAGATGATCCAAGCCCATCAGCCACAATGGGAAGAGCAAGCGTAGCTGGCTGTAGAGATGCTACAAGGCATTTGTGTGGAGCATGTGTGCTGTCCAGCACCATCTTGGCCAACACCAGGGACTAAGCCAGGCCCTAGTAGAGATAAGGATAGGGTCTCTACAGCTTGAATTAAGATCTAAGGCTCCCCAGCTGGGCTGTACCCAACCTATATCCACTGGGGGTCAGACCTAGGTGGGACATGTCCCAAATCCTCACCAGTGGGTGATTTGTACCAACCCACTCTTTCTTGGAGAGCTTGCCATGCTGAGGAGGGAGGAAGAGCCTTCTGCATGCTTGGCCAACGTGTCTTGCCCCACAGGGATGGAGAGTCATCAGGAAAGATAGCAGGGGCTCCAGGGTCACTCATCTGGCATTCTGACTGAAGCTGTTCTGGGAGATTTTTTTCTCCCAACATGATATAATTTCATTAATTGAATTTATTTTCTTAAAATATCCTATCACAATCTCCCAGGTTGCTTTCAATAGTCACTGGGAGATTGATGGTGATTCTGGTAGACTCCCAGCCAATCTGGAAGGGTTGGCAACCCTGTCTGGGATACATAATGGGTTTCTGTCCTGTTTATCAGTCCGTGTTTCTTGTCCTGTCCTATCTGCCTAGGAGTGCTGCATCGCCCCACAAAGATCACACCCCCAGGAGAGAGGTTCACTCACCTCCTTGTAACTGAAGACAATTCTCCCATCACTGTGAAGAGCAGCCTGGAAGGTGAAACTGCCAATGTCTTCCTTTCCCTGAAGATATACCTTATCCCACTGAACGACAAACACCTTCCCTGCAGAAGAAAGGAGACACCACCAGGGCTAGCGGTGGGGTCATGTCAGGTGGGGTCACATCAGTTTCACTTCCCAGGCACCACCTGTAATGGCCATTCCCAGATACCTGTAGGCCCAATGCACTAGCCATGACAACCATTTCACAACTGCATGCACTTTACTCATGTAGCAGCAACCGCCACACGCACACCTCCTAGTCACCATCTGCAAAATGCCACACCCCACTGTCACACTGCTCACACACTGGATCTGATTGCCTCAGAACCATCCACCCACTGGCTCCAGCAACAGACCCCAGACATTGGCTGCTTTCCCCCACATGGATAGACTTGCAATGCTCCATGTGCTTGGAGGTCCAAGCACAATTCATTTAGCGGTGACCAAAACTAGCTGGAAGTCCCTTGATTATTTTGAGATGAGGCAGATTCTGGTTTCAATTTTCCCTGTTTACTTTCACTTCCCCCCTCAACAGCTCCCACAGCTGTAGTGACTCCTTCCTCTTGCCTACCCACACAAGGTAGGGAAGGTTCTTTGGGTAGATATGATATATTTTATTAGACCAACTGAGTAGTTGGAAAAATGTTTTTTTTTCCAAACTTTTGGGTGCAAGCTCTCTTCTTGCAAAGAACATTTTTCCAAGTACTCAGTTGGTCTAATAAAAGATATCACACCTACCCAAAGAACCTTGCCTACCTACCTATGTCCTTAGACCAACATGGCTATAACCAAAAACCTGTCACACAAGGCACGCCAGATCCTCCTTCTCCCCAGCCCACATTCAGCAGCAGAACCAAGGAGGGTCTCTGAATAAACATCTCCAATTTTGGTGCTCATCAGAGCTTTCCCAGGTTCACCCAGCAGCATCAGAAATGACAGCTCAGTTGTTAAACCTCCAGTCATGAACCTGCAGGGACACACATCACACATGCACAGGGACATACATATCACGTGTTCACATAGACACATGTCCCACACAGAGATCCATGTGTAAGGGACAGCACATTGTACACAAACACAAATATATGTCTCAGGAGTGTACCCAGGGCCTGTGTTCGCACATAGCAGCAAGGCAGCTTGTTGGGCTATGGCGGGGCTAGGGGGCAGCTCACCATTGTCAAAGTACATGACGGTGGAGTTGCGGGAGTAGCTGGGGTTAAAGTTGGCCATCAGAGGTGCAATGTACTGTGTGGCTGTGAGCATCCGATGGATAACATCCCCCATGAAGATGAAACCTGAGATGGGAGCAAGGGAAAGTAATTTATGCCCCCCTCCTCTCACTCTCACCCCACTGCCCCCAAGACACCATCCTCTTGCAGATCCCCCTCATGCCTGTGTCTTCAACCGGTTGCCCACTCCCATCCCAACTAGAACTGGGCCTGAGCTGAACCCCTGGAATGTTAGCCAGTTTGGACCCTGGGTTCTGGTTTTGGGTCCTGCATCGTGCTACCATTGAGCACTGATTACAGCTGGTGGGCTAGTCCTCACAGTGCTCTCTCGGGCAGACGCTTGCCCCTTTAGAGTTGCGGAAATGGAGGCACTGGATGGACCAGATTCCTGGACCAGATGGAATAGATTCCCTGTTATCACCTCCTGGAAGAGCTAAATTAAGATGTAGAAGGGGAAGATAGACACCTGGCCTGCTAGGCTACACTGCCCTCCAGTCACCACTGCCAGCTTCCCCAGGGACAGTGGACAACCCCCATCCAAATTCCTCCTGCAAGGCTCAGGTCTCACTCACCTCCTGTTGCTATGGTGATCTGCCGCAGGTGGTGGCCATAGAAGGGGAAGTCAAAGGACAGGATGACTCTCTGCAGGAGACAGGTGGGGACAGGAGAGAGGCCATGTTAGGAAGCATCGCATTGACTATGCTTCTGTCTGAGGCTCTGACCAGGTTGACAGGTAGGAGGCAGGCGAGATAGGGAAAAGCAGTGCTGCCCAGATGGATAAAAGCAGAGGGGGAACACAGGGGTACTTGAAGGCAGTGCCTTCTCCTTCAGCAGCAACCTGCTGGTAATATCTGTGACCACCTGGAATGTCTTGACCTCTTGGAGTAGCTCCAGGCTCAGCCCTTCCCTAGAGTCCAACTGCAATAGGCTTCCTGGGGTGCAGTGCCCAAACATATACGCCTCTTGCTCAGACTCTAGAGGCATGAGTTCAAGCCCAGCTCTGAACAAGTGTTGGAGCCTCAGCTGTACATGAGTGTATTGTTGTTTGGGCTGGGGAGTCCAAGGCAGCTGGCTGGGATGCCAGCTACATCATTTCCCAGAGTGTCTTAACCCCTCTTGCCTGTTGGACATGCCTTAGGCTTAGGAATGGGCCTCGGCTGTGCTGGTCTCTCTACTGATGCTTCATGCCCATAAGAAGTGAACCTGAATGTGGAGCATGTGTCTGTGGAAAGCAAAGCTCATTTCTGGCCTGAGTCTCTTCCTCTGTGGTGGCCTTGGAATCACAGGGAGAGAGCATCGCTACTCTGGCCAAGGTGCTAGTGCCCTGGGTTTGGAGATCCTTTCAAGGAAAGAAGTTACTGGGGAAATATGCACAGGTCACTGCCATGGCACAACAGCTGATGCCCCAGGAAGGGATGGCATAGCTTTGCGAAGGGGTGGGGAATGCTCACCGAGGCCTGCCTGTGTGTGTTGGAGAGGATGCCATGGATTTTCACTTGGCTTCGGTTGGCTTCTGCCATGTTCACCCAGAATTCCTTGATACGTGCCTCGCCCGGCCCATGAATTCGTGACACATAGTAGCTGTGATTATCTTCCTGCAGCCACAGAGGAAGGGAAAGAGGGAACAATTAGCTTTGGGAACTGTAGCTATGAGAGACATTGATCCTTAAAGTGCAACAACCACACCCATATCTCAAAACCAACAGGAGATCCCAAGGCAACCCTGTGGTAAAAAGGGCCAACATGACCCCTGGTGGTATATGCAGGGAAATCAGAAGTAAGGAGGTGACTATATACAGGACTGATCAGACTGATAGGGCAGAGTCACAGGATTCTAAACCAGGATGCTGAAAAATTGGAGAGGATGCCAAAAAGAGTCACGAAAATGATCCAAGGAGCAGAGTAAATAAATGCCTTGCTGCTGCAGTCGTAAACATATGCCAGCTGTTTAGCTTGTAAAAAAGAAGATGGAGAAGTGACTTTGTGAGAGCAGATAAGTACTTGCCTGGGGAGAAAACAACAGTGTGCTGTAGGGCTCTTGAATGGTGCAGGGCAAGAACTAGTGTCTGAAAGCTGAAGTCAGACAAATGTCCACCCCACCCAGCTTTCTCAGTGAGGGACATTCACAACTGGGACAAACACTGAGGGAAATGGAGGATTCTTCAGCCCTCAATGTCTTTGGAGCAAGACTGAGTGCCTTTCTGGAGGATGATTTAGCCAAATGCAAGTTACAGCCTTCAAAGCAGGGCTGACTGGATGAAACTTTGGGATGTGAGATATGGGAAGCAGGTGAGATGATCCCCTCTGGCCTATAAAACTATAAACACTACTCTCTTCAGTGCTTAGGGAGTTTGACTGTCCCTTGCAATTCCATATCCCACCCTTCACAGACAAGTACTAGCATCCTTTCTGTGAGGATGGGAGAGAAGAACTAGTGTCAAGGTGGGGTTACGACCTGGGTGTTGGCTCACAGCCCCATGCACAGGCCACAATAATTCTGTGACCAATAAACTAATAAGGATGTCAGGAGGGCAACCATGAGGAGGATAATGAAGCATCATTATGAAGTGGGAATTAGAGGGTTCCTTTTGCTCACAGGTTTCAGGAAATGAACTAAGCCTTGAAGTGCCTGGGGGAAGGTGATAGGCCCATTGCCATTATTACAAATGGGGAAACAAGAGTCCCAAAGAGGTACAGTGACTTGCTCCTGCTCACAGTCTTGTGGGGACAAGACCTGGACATCCTGACTCCTGATCCCCTGCTTTAACCAATAGCTCATGCTCCCTTTGAAAGCTGAAGACAGAACGTAGGAATCCTAATACCTCCCCATCCCTTTTGTTGCACTGTCTACCTGAGGCCTAGGAACAGAAAGCCTAACTTCCTGCTCTAATCACTAGGCTTAGCATCTTCTCCAGAGACTCTTTCTTCAGCCCCAGGCAGCTGAAAACCCAGACAGACAGGAGCGTGGGCCACGTAGCTCTTCTGCCAAGAAATCCGAGGAGAGTCATCTAAAATTGCTGATCGCAAATGTTCCAGATGATGCATCTCCCTACCGGCCTCTTTGCTTGTGGTTCTGTGGCAAGTATTGGGGGGGTTGCTGCAGTGCAAGCAGTTTGTTGACAGCTGGGCTACAGCATGGTATAAAGTGATTGTATATAAATGTGGCTTTTCCTGGAGTGGACGTCATCAGTTGTTTCCTGGTGCACAATGTGGGGTTGGGAGCCAGGACTCCTGGGTTCTATCCTCACCTCCCTGGCAGAGGTGATCTAGTGGGTAAAGCAGGGGAATGGGGTTCAGGACTCCTGGGTTCTGTGGCCAGCTCTGCCATAGCAATGCTATGCAGCCCTTTAGGGGAGCTGATGAAGAGAAGCTAGGGTCTTTTCCATGGAACAGCTGGAATAATCTGTCCCTGCATGTGGCATAATTAATCAGCGACTCGGCACACAAACCTGCCTGACCTGTAGCACAGGAAAGGAACAATATCCCTGGCCCTGCTGAGGGAGATGGTGCAGTTTCAGATGCCAGCTTCCTAATTGTTCTTCTCTGTATAAGCTGCCAGGGCCCAGCTGGAAGCTGCCTCATGTCAGGGAAGCTAGTTTGCACTTTCAGAAGCTGGAGATATCTTAATTTTGACTGGGAAGATGCTGCTCTCCTGTTTCTGAGGAGGTGCCCTGGCTCTGGGAGCTGCCTCACACAGGAACAGACATTCAAAAAGCCTGAGCCTGAATTGATTCAATCTTTGCAGGTTAGTCTAACCTGGCTAAGCTAAATCAGTTATGTAACCAGACAGACATCCCAGAAATGCAAGCACATGCCTGCAGTGGCTCAGGCTAGAAGCTGGGGCGCTAGAGCAGCCCTCCCTCCCCATCCTTCGTATTGAGTGGAGGGGTGTGTGGCCAGGCCCTGGCAAGACACTGTGATTAGGGAGGGGTCCCTCCTCCCCACCATTGATAATAGAGCATTTATCAACGCTGTTATCAGCATTTAACACCCCATCAGAAAACGAAGCCTCACTCATTACAAGCTCTTCTTAAACAGCATTTTTCCAAAGGAAGGAACGCAGGGACATTACCATCTGAGCTGCTTCAAAAAACCCTAAACGGACACTGTCCAATCTGCCTTACACAGCATTAGCTAGCATACCACATGCTGGCTACAGTCCATGGTGTTGAAGAGGTAAAAAGGATCTCTGCTTAAGCAGCAAGTGGTGAGAGGGGGGAGGGGACGGGGGAAGCCAGCAGATCCTGCTGGGCCTGCAAGTCTCTACCGGAGGTCTGGCCAGGGAGCAAAGGGGAAGGGCCAACCCAGCTGTCTGGAGCAGGGAGCCCCACCCAGCCCAGAGAGCATGCCAGGATGCTGGGGGACTCTGATTTAACTTAAACCAGGAAGGGGTTTGGGACAGACATTACATAAACTGGTT